TAACTGCTGTGGCCATTTGGGGAATGAACCAGCGGACAGAAGACTTTTCTGTCTCTGTCTCTTCTCTGTCTGTAACTCTGCATCTGAAATGAATAAATCTTAAAAAAATAAAAATAAGAAACTCCCTGAAAACTGAGAAGTCTCCAATTAATGTGCAATTCACATGAAGCAATTCATGTCATGTACACTGATTATGGATAATAATATGTAACACAGAGAATATTCGGAGTATTTGAATTCTCTTCATGAAAATAGTTTCTTGAGTTTGGAGGCAACCATCCTGTGGTTACTACTGCCATACACATTTTACACTGAGGCCTACCATGCCACACAACCCACCCAAGGATATACAAGTAAATGGCAGACCCCTAATAAGAAGCTACACAGGGGAAGGCAGGTAAAACCACCACCTGCAGTGCCAGCATGCTATATGGGTGCCGGTTCAAGTCCACTTCCAATCCAGCTCTCTGCTATGTCCCGAGAAAGCAGTAGAAGATGGCCCAAGAGCTTGGGCCCCTGCAATCCAGAAGCTCCTGGCTTCCTGACTTCCTGGATCAGCACAATTCTAGCAGATGAAGACCCCTCTCTCTGCCTCTGCCTATCTGTAACTCTGTCTTTCAAATAAATAAATAGAAAGATCCTTGTATCCTTAAGGTCAAAAAAAAAAAAAAAAAAAAAGGAAGCTACACAATCTGCATGCAGTTCAAATGGCCTCTTTAGGATCATGCATTTTACATTTCTCATTAACATACACCCAGTACCATCACTCACTTCTTTTACAACATCCTCTTCAGGAGCCAAATAATCCTTATCTCCAAAATCATCCTTGCAAAGAGTATCTCACTGTGAATCGAAATGGGACTAACCAAATCTACTGGGAGATGACCAGAATGAGGGGTAAGAAGATAAGCATGGCCACCACCACATTCAGAAGGGGCTGATTAAAGGCAAAAAGTCTTGGGTGCAGGTGTTACAGTGCAGAGGGTTAGCTCCTGCTTTTGACATCTGCATACCGTAAAGGAGTATAGGTTCAAGTCCTGGTTGCTAGACTTCTTGTTAATGCACCTGGGAAGGCAGTCGATGTCAGCCCAAGTACCCACCTACCCTAATGCAATTCTGGAGATTTGGCAATAAACCAGATGATGGAAGATCTCTTTATTTCTTGTCTTTCTGCCATTCTACCTTTAAAATAAATCATTTTTTAAAATAAAGAAAAAATAAAAGTCTCAGGAGAAGGTGTTGTGGCACACTGAGTTCAAACCACCACTTAGAAAGCCATTATCCACTATTGAAATGCTAGTTCCAGTACAAGCTACTTTACTTCTGGCCAAGTTTCCTGCTTATGCATCCTAGGATGGCTCAACTGCTTAGGGTCCTGCCACCCACAGGAAATACCAAATGTAATTTCCAGGCTTCTGGTTTTAGCCTGACACAACCCTGGCTATTGCAGGTAGTTGGCGAGTGATCCAACTGATGAAGATCTCTCCTTCTAACCTTGGAGTAAAAAAGTCTCTATCATGTTACTATTGTATACAATGAAAAATATATTAATGTATAATAAATACCACAATGACCAAAACAAACAGAAAACTAACCCAAGCCTTTAGGCAAATGAGTACCTCACAAATACTTCTTGTGGTCTTCTTAGCTTTGGCTGTTCTGTCCTTCAAACAGGCAGAGAACAATAGACAAAACGTCAGCTTTTCCTTTAAAAGGGAGTGATTTCAGAGGAGCATCTTTTATTGGTTACAGAAAATGACACTTGTTTCATTTTTTTGGTACTTTGTCTTTCCTCTATAAAAACATCCTCCATAGAACAGAAATAGAGGGACCACTGCTGGGACGCAGCAGGTATATGGATGCTGCTTCAAGTCCCAGCTGCTCCACTTATTATCCAGTTCCCTGCTAATGTGCCTAGGAAAGCAGTAGAAGATGGTCCAAATTCTTCCACCTGGTACCCACATAGGAGACCCAGAACAATGTACTGGCTCCTGGCTTTAGTGTAGCCCAGCCCTGGCTGTTAAAGCCATCTGGGGAGATAACTGGCATCTAGAAGATCTCTCACCTTCTCTCTGTATTCTATGCCTTTCAAATAAATAAATAAATAAATAAGAGAAAGAAAACGAAAAGAACTAGAAACCTGAGGAAACATACAAATCCCTCCAAAACGCAATTCTACTACAGTATTATATCTGTTAAAAAGACCCCTGAAGTTAAATGAAACAGTACAAGTATACAGGGAAAAACATGGCTGGGGGAATTTCTTACAGAAAAATAACACTTTGTAAACACATGACTATTTTTAAACAGAAGATTTTAAAAACATGTTTTAAGTATCACCAGAAAAATATAATGGCTTAATTTTGTGAGTTGAGAAACCAGATCAGCAAGGTCTGAACTTTGTGTATCTATGTGGGTGCAAACTCTTGAAATCTTTACTTAATATATACTAAACTGATCTTCTGTATAAAGAGAATTGAAAATGAATCTTGATGTGAATGGAATGGGAGAGAAGCGGGAAAGGGGAGGGTTGCGGGTGGGAGGGAAGTTAGGGGGAGGGGGGGAACCACTGTAATCCATAAGCTGTACTTTGGAAATTTATATTCATTAAATAAAAGTTAAAAAAAAAAATAGAGTCTCCATCCTAGAGACTGCAGTGTACAGGCATCTACCATTAGAGCTTCAAGATGAATATCAGCAGATTGGGGGGGGGGGTGTCATATGGGGACTGGCCTTACCAAACACAAACTTGTAAGATTCTATTGCCAAAACCAATGTAAGCATTCATGCCAGATATATTAACATTTGCACATGTTTAGAAGCATGGACAACACTTACATTATTACACATCCTAATATATTTGCTGCTTAACAATCCCTGAAATTACTCTTCTTGTGATGATTCGTTCTATAAATTTGGGTAGTGGGAATGTCTCTTGTGCACTGTAATAGCTCAGCACTGAAACATCCACCCAATCAAGTATTTCTGAAAAGAGTACAGCTATCAAGCACAGCACACCAACCCATCTGTCACACAAATCTTTGCTGACTGTACTAATAACAAATCTCATGTCATCTAAGATACAGTGCTGAGAATTAAGAGAAATCAAGGATGAAATCAATATATTCTTAGTATAATATGGCGAATTTAAACCAAGACATTCATGATGGAAGAAAAAAACTGAAGGAGTTAAGCTATGTCGCTCCCCCTCTTCGTGAAGGAAACCCTGCCTAGGTTTCCTATCCGAGTCACGGCACCATTATATCGCTCCCCGTCTTCGTGGAGGAACGACACAGGACCCTGCGCTGTTCTTTTGTCTGCTCGGCCCTTCCCGGGTTTGCTGCTGGTTCTTCCCGGGTTGGCTACCATCCCTTCCACCTCCGTGGAAGGGCGGTTCCCCCTAGCCACTTTCCCCACTTCCACGGGGGAGCGGCACACCGCTGGCCGGCTCTCTCGGGGGCTGCTCAGGTGTTCCTTCAGATAGATGTTCCCGGTGCATGTTGTCTCTCTCCTCCTTTATAGTCCTCTTCCACCAATCCCAACTCTGCTACCCACACGCAGAGTACACTGCTCTCCTCCAATCAGGAGCAGGTCCTGCTGTTTATTGGTTGAACTGGAGGCAGCTGTGTAGAAGCTGTTTCCTCCTCTCCCAGCGCCATATTGTGGGAGAGCAGATGCATAGAATAAGTCTTAATTCGAGTAACAGTCTAATCCGAGTTGCTCCCCACAAGCTATATAACTCAAATTTCCACTGTATAACTTCGGGAGAATTTCAAGTATCTACACAGGCTCATCTGTTTTTTCATTCATTGTCCACTATACTCAGTTCTTCATTGGATACAGACATTACATAGCTGCAAAAAGTATCCACCATTCAGTGCTAGGAGTAAATAAAGAAGACAAACCCAAAAACATCTTTCTCTCTTTTCATCAACCTCTGTAATACATTCAGTAAATTCAGAAATATGACCATAGAAAATAAGTAGAATGAAATGAAATATAAATATTAAAGAGGGCAGAAGTATTATTTTGTAACATCACTGACAATGAAACCAAAAACTCTTACCACACTGCCAAACTCAACTTCCATATAAGCCATCACAAACCTATTTTCAGTTACAATTCACAAGTCATAAAAATTCACAAGTCATAAAAAAGTAATCATGAGTTGAGTTTTAAGAACCAGTTCTGTAGCAACTGTTGTGGTTGAAACAGGTTAAGCTACTGCCTATGATACCACCACTCAATATCTGAGTGCTAGTTCAAGTCCCAGCTGCCCTGCTTCCAGTCCTGCTCCCTGCTAAGACACCTGAAAAAGCAGCCAAGATAGTCCAAGTGTTGTGCCCCTGTGACCCATATGGAAGACCTGATGAAGCCTCAGGCTCACCCATTGCTGACCACAGCAACCATTTGGGGAGTGAATCACCACATCGAAGATCTCTCTCCCTCTCTCATTGCCTTTGAAATAAATTATAATAAGTCATAACAAAAAGAACCAGTTGTATAGTTACTAACTTGGGCGAACACCATGGTTTTTAAAAATCCCACAGTGTAACAGTATAATTCCTGGTTTCCTGACAAGGAAAAAGAAAAAAGAAAAAAAATTCAGAACCAGAATATTTAATTCTTAAAATGTTGAAAAACATCTGTCTTTAGAAATGGCAAACACTAGCTGACATATCCTTGAGATTACTACTGAAGAGGATCAAATTAAAAAAGAACACATATTAGAAGCTGGCAACTCTTTGGCCAATCATTATGGAACTTGTTTGTTTAACCCACTATAACTTTTTATTTATTCATGTTTATTTTGATTACTGGACAAGACATAGGAACCAGGATATGTAATACAAAAAACCCGTAATTCTGCTTCCTCCATAGAAACCTCAATGGAGACTTTGAAAATGGGCCCACATCTGTCCCCAGGAGACATAAACTAAAGCCTGAGTTTATTACAGTCTATGGTATGGCTGTGAATATTTTCAGCCTTGGGTACTAACCTTTTCCTCGACGGCCCTTCTTCAAAATCTGAAGAACTAACATCGTTGCTAGTAGAGGACACTTGGGATGCATCATCCTTCTCATTCTCTGACTGTTCTGATGCTGGTCCGAATCCCTTAGACTGGTCAGTACCAAGGAGCCCTACAGGTGAGAGAAGGTTACAAACACTTGAGACACATCACATTAGGAAGTGGCATGTTATCATACTTAACCCTACATGACAGTGGATGAAAACAGACAAGAATGCGGACTGATGAGAAGCTGAAGTTACTTATCCCTCTTCAAGGAGCAGAGGAAAGTAAAACCTCAATTTAAGCCTTTGGGAAAAAAAAAAAAAGAAAAGAAAGAAATGGGGCTGGTGCTGTGGTATGGCGGGTAAAGCTGCCACCTGCAGTGCCGGCATCCCACATGGGCACTGATGCTGGATGCTCCACTTCTGATCCAGCTCTCTGCTGTGGCCTGGGAAAGCAGAGGATGGCCCACGTGCTTGGGCCCTGGCTCCCATGAGGGAGACCCAGAAGAGGCTCCTGGTTCTGGGCTTCTGATAGTCCCAGCTCCTGCTGCTGCAGTCATTTGGGGAGTGAACCAGTGGATGTAAGACCTCTCTCTGTGTGTCTATACCTCTAAATTCTTCCTTTCAAATAAATAAAAAGTAAAAAATATTTTAAGAAAATGCAATGCCAGACAAGTAAACAATTTCAACAGTAGGAAATTCAAGCAAACATTAGAAATCATAGTAATATTTACAGGTTGTAGGGATCCTGTTTAAAATACATCTGCATCTTTTGTGGCTCAAGCATGGGGTGGGAAGGAAGAAAGGATTATCAAAACCAAATCAAATTTGTTATTCCTGAAGTGCTACATATTTACTCTAGAGGCACTTAAATCACCCTCAGGAACCAGTACCTGCCACACAAGACACAGCATTTTGACTTTTTAGCTGCAGCATACCCATTAACTAGAAATCCTCCAAGAGCTTCTCATAGCCATCCATTAACTTGGGTTGTAGCTAGGCTGTTTCAGATCATTCTCAGAGGATGCAGTTACGGAACCGCACATATATGGGAGACTCTTGGCTCCCACTGAAGTGTTTTTTTCATAACCAAAATGGAGAAAGGGACTGGGGAAGCAGCTGTCAGCCGTCAGAAGTGCTCTAGATACAACTATGTACTAAGTACTACAGGAAGTATTTTAATAAGCACTAGGAGGTAACAGCTGAATAAAAGCATCATTTTCTAGCAACCAAATTCCTTTGCAAGGATGAATAAAATGAAAGGATGCAGGTTCTGAAGAACAGGAAGTGTCTGTCCACGAACACGAGTGTCCACAGGGACTGTTAAGTCATTGGTTTCATAGCCATCAGGAGATGGCCTTGTACCAGCAATGACAGCACACTTTCTGCAGCTCCACAGAATTCAAACTTTAAGTCAAAGCAACAAGGTGGCCCCTTGATTCATGGTCCTCAAGCCTTCTCACTAACTGTAAACACTTAATTCTCTGTCTTAAAACACTACCAGTGTTACTGTTGCACTGAAAACTACACAGAAGGGGTTGGCATTGGGGTGCAGTGCATTAATTTACTGCTCAAAGCTAGAATTCCATGTTGGAGTGCCAGTTCAAGTCTCAGCTGTGACACTTCCTACTAATGGTTCTAGAAAAGCAGAAGATGAAGGCCCAAATGTATGGGGACCTGCTACCCATGTGGGAGACTCAGATGGAGTTCGTACCTTTTGGCTTCAGCCTGGAACAGATCTGGCTGTTACAGCCATTTGGGTAATCAACCAGTGGATGGAAAAATCTTTCTCTCTCTTCCTTCTCCCTGACACTATGCTTTTCAAATATGTGGATAAATCTTAAAACACACACACGAAACAAACAAAAAACTATACAGGGAACCAGTGCTGTGGTGTGGTAGGCTGAATTTCTGGCTGTAGCATCAGCATCCCATATGGGCACTGGCTGGAGTCCCAGCTGCTCCTCTTCCAGTCCAGCCCACTATTGGGTAACTATTTATATCCTGGGGTCTGTCCTATTATGCATCCATTTCTCCAGGTATTGAGCTATACATCATTTCAGAGAGTAATAACATAAGGCTGGAAATCTACTGTGGTAAATAAAACCTGATAGCTATTTATGTAAACCAATGTGGTTTTAAGACTTAAGACTACCTGGGGCCGGTGCTTTGGCAAAGTGGGTAAAGTCACCGCCTGCAGAGACCACATGAGATATGGGCATTGGTTTGGGACCCGACTGCTCCACTTCCAATCCAGCTTCCTGCTATGGCCTTGGAAAGCAACAAAAGATAGCCCAGGTCCTTGGTCCCCTACACCTGCACTGGAGACCCGGATGAGGATCCTGGCTCCTGGCTTAGAATTGGCTCAGCTCTGGCCATTGCGGCAAATTGGAAAGTCAAGCAGCGGAAGGAAGACGACCCCCCCTGCCCCAGCATGCCTCTGCCTGTCAGTAACTCTACCTTTCAAATAAATCAATAAATTTTAAAAAAAGAAAAAAAAAAAAAAAAAAAGACTTATGACTACAACATGAAAACAATAGCACACAACTTTCCAAAAAAAAAGGATATGCGGTGATTTTTCACTGTAATGCAAAAAGGAGACACAACTGTATGGAAATTTAATACAAGGATGAAGTATATTTCATGGGGCTAGAGTTGTGGCATCACAGATAATGCTACCACCTGAGATGCTGGCATACCATATGGCCACTGATTTGAGTGTCAGCTGCTCCATGCCTGGGAAAAGCAGCAGCAGATGATCCTCAGGCCCCTGCCACCCACCTGAGAGACCAGATCAAGTTCCTGACTTTGGACACGCCCAGTGACAGCAACTGCAGCCATCAGGAGTTTGAACCAGCACATGAAAGATCTTCTCTCTCTCTCCCTCTCTATAACTCTGGCTTTCAAATAAATAAATAAATAAATAAAATGGCACCGTGGCTCATTTGGCTAATCCTCCGCCTGCGGCGCAAGCATCCTGGGTTCTAGTCCCGGTTGGGGCACCGGGTGCTCCTCTTCCAGTCCAGCTCTCTGCTGTGGCCACGGAGGGCAGCAGGGGATGGCCCAGGTGCTTGGGTCCCAGCACCCATGTGGGAAACCGGGGGGAGGCGCCCAGCTCCTGGCTTCAGATCAGCACAGCACTGGCCGTGGTGGCCATTGAGGGAGTGAACCAACAGAAGGAAGACCTTTCTGTCTGTCTATCATTGTCTATAACTCTCTCTGTCTCTATCTCTGCATGTCAAAAAAATTTTTTAAACGAAAAATGCATACCCCGTATTTCAGACAAGTAAGAATTAAGCTATCCATTAGAGTAGTTAGCAGTCAGATATAACTTCTGAGTACTTGAAATATTATTTCAACTTTAGTTAATTGTACAGCTAATATTTAATTGTATTTTGACTAACTGTGGAAATATTTTAGATGTACTGGTTAACTCAAATACATTCAAACTGAATTTTTTTTTAGTATGGCTCTAGATAAGCAAATGTACAGGTTGTTAAAACAATATGTCTACTGATGAGCACTACATCAGAGAACGTTAGTAATGTCACTACATAGGGGTGGAAGAAAAGGAGACATTGCCAGGAATATAATATATAACAAAATATGAGATGTATACCTTATGTTTAAGTGTAAACTTGGTGAGTTTTTGTTCCATATTTCTATTTATTTGAAAGGCAGAGTTACAGAGAGTGAGAGGAGAGAAAGAGATGTTTTCTATCTGCTGGTTCACTCCCTAAATGCCCACAATGGCCAAGAGCCTAAAGTTTCTTCCGGGTCTCCCACATGGGTGCAAGGGCCCAAGTCCTTGGGACATCTTTCATTGTCTTCTCAGCGCATTAGCAGGGAGCTGAACCAGAAGTGGAACAGCTGGGTTTTGAACCTGCCTCCATAGGGGAAGCTGGCATCACAGACAGAGTCTTAACCTACTATGTCACAATGCTGGCCCCTCTTGGTGAGTTTTCAATTTTTCAACAATAATACAGGAACAGCAAAGAAAAGCAGGGAAGACTGAATTCTATCAAACATTTACTTACAATCTAACAGGACTCGGCGGATGCAGGTGCAACCAAAGAAAATCTAAATTCTACTGAGGAGAGATTTGTAGTGTGGACAAAGAAAATATGCTGCACGTGTTGGGTAAGGAAAAAGTAATAGGGGAGTGCTGGATAACAAGAAACATGGCAGCCAGTCAGCAATTCCAAACCTGGAAAAGTTCAGATTTGTAAGATGCCTTTAAAATACACACACACACACACACACACACACACACACAAACAGGTAGTGCTGGTGGAAGAGGAAAAGAAAGAGAACTTGAAGCCATATTTGGATCACAGAGGAACTAAGAGGACTATGCTGCTATGTGAAGACTGGGTGAAGTTCTTACACTTTAGTATGTAATAGAAGCTGATGATTTGCCTGAGGAGTAGGAAGTTTGTAGTCAGATATTCAATGGCTTTTTCTTATGGTATGATTCATCTCAGTAAATTTTCAAGAACAGTGATTCTCCAATAGACACACACTCCACAATTACTTGGAGGGCCCAGGCAACTAGTCCTCAAACCCAAACCTCCATCTGACATATTCCCTGGGGAAGTTCCTACTTTGAGTGGTCTCTGGACCACATCTGGAAAACCACTACAGTAGAGAAATATAAAGTCCATGTCAGTAAGAGAAAACCAAAGCCACTATCAAACAGTGTGTGAGCATGAATTATATCACAGAGAATTGAACATGACTGCAGAATCTATCACAACACTGCTCACAGTGAAGTATCCATGCTCACTGCTCTATTTTTTTTATTAATGATTCTATGCATGCTTATAAATGACACAAAGTTACAAGAATCTGCTAGGCAAATACAGACTCCAATTGGAAAAAATACATGTCTAAGAAGTATAAATAGAAAATTACTTAGAATAGTACCCTCTTCCCCCAAATCCAATATCTATCTGAAGGTACAAATTCAGAGAAACTGCATGAAGAGATTCCTATGAGACACAGTTGGGAGTTAACTGACTTTGTGTGCTGCTTTGATCCTAAGGCATGGCTGAGCTACATTAAAGGAACTAAAGCAGTGACACCACTGTCCCCATGCTCTCGTTAAACGATGGTTCCAGACTCACAT